GCCAGGGACAGAGCTGGGGGCCGCGGGGACCCGGGGCCAGCAGCGCACTTTGGGGCGGTGGGAAGAGCTGGGGGCCCGGAGAGGCAACCGGGACCGACCCACGGGACTGGGAGCGCTGGGGGACCCCCGTGGCATGGCTGCACCGCCACCCAAAGGTGTTCAACTGTGCTGGTGGCCTCTCTGGTGTGATCCTGTGCAATCTTTTCTCCTCCAGTGCTCAGCTGCATCTCCCCAGCAAAGCCTCCACCAGCACACACTCCCAGGGATGGCAACACAATCATCTGCTCCCAGGGGAGGACCCTGCTTTCACCCCCCAACAGCATCCAGAGAGCACAGCAAGCATCAGCCATTGCTCACAGCTGAAAATCAGGCTGTTTTGGCCACTCCTGACTCTGGCTCCCACTCAGCCTCTCCTCCAATCCTCCTCCTGCTTCCCCAAGGCAGATCACCTTGGCTCTGGCCATTACGTCCATGGAGGTCAGCTCCCCATCAGAGTACGGGTGCATCTCTAGGGACTGCAGTGACCCAGTTTCTTCTCTGGGGAGATCAGCAAAGAAAAAATACACTGAATCGCTGGAAAGGAAGGAACAGGTCAGTTATGCTGCTCTTGGGCACCAGCCTCCTCTGCTGGAAAGCTGGTTCTACCCAGCTGCACCATTTCCACCAGCTTTCTACTCCGCAGGAGGATGAGGTCCAATCTGGACACACTATCTCCACGCTTCAGGACTGCTGGGCATCACCAAGCAAACTCACAGTCTTGACTCACCACATCACCCTGCCCAGACCAAGCAGCTCACCCTGATGCTGGCAGCTTGCACAGCTCCTCCACAGACATCTCACTTTTGGTTTCCTCACAGCCTTCTAACTCGGAGTCCAAAAGCTCCTTCTGCTTGGGCTTCTTCCTGTGTCACCTCCTCTTGCGCGGGGTCATTTCAGCACTGGAGGGCTCCTGCCCATGAGAGAGCTGAGCAGCATCCTCTGGGCTCTGCTCCATGGGGATGGGGGACACGCAGAGGTGGGAGGGGATGCTGCCCTGAAACAGGGATGGGAAGAACCCATCAGCTCCAGCACATGCTTTTGCAGCCTGGCAGTTCATGGCTCTCATCTACACAACATGTCACCAGCACAACATCACCACTGAGCCCTCAACTTGGGGTTGGTTTTGGGGCTATGCCCAAAAGGAAAGGTTTTTTACATACAACATGTGAATAAAAAAATGCAGGGCTATCCAGCCACAAGCTAAAGACATCTTTAACATGGGCAAGGAGAGGCAGGCAGGAGATGGCACCATGAGACCAGAATTACAAAGACTACAGAGAAGATTCAGCTCCAGAGCCCTCTCCCTGCTCTCAAAGCCAGCCCAAGCCAGCAGCAACTGCAAGTCAGCCTGTGAGAGAGCTGCCAAGATTTCTGGAAGCCACAACTAGTCTCATCCCATTTCCCAGTGGAGCGGGCAACCTGCCACAGCATCTGGCTCACTGTCATCCCCGTCACAAGATCCCCCAAAAGGCCAGGCTCCAAGATATCTTCCCGGCTGGCCAGCAGCCATGCCCAGGGAGGGAAGACAGCCTGGGAAGCAGATATCTGGTCTATTGCTCTTTCAGGGTGCTCCAGTGCTCAGATCCTCCATGCTGGTTGCAAGGTGGCAATCAAAGCTTTCTGGGAACACAAAACATCAGAGGGGACAAAGGAGACACCCTGGGGAAAAAGAGCAGCCCAAATCTGGTCCTTCCACCTGACCCCTGCACTTCCAGGTGATCACAGAAGGACACAGACCTGCAGCACCTCTCCATCACCAACCTCATTCTCCTCCGACTCCTGGGCAAAGAAGGCCTCTCCACTGTCACCCAGCTTCATGTGCAGGTCCACGGGCTCCCCGTTGATTTCAATGTCAACCTGGCAAGGGACAGAAGCAGCCTGTCCCTCAGAGCCCATGCACCCACCAGCATGCAGAAAGGCACTTCCCCAGGGAAGGGACGGGTGAGGGCTGGTCATGGGGCTGACAGCCACCCAGCCTTGGGGGCAAGGGACCTCTCCTGATTTTCCTGGGAAGTGCAGTCCTCTTTGGAAGAGGATGGGTTTTCTTCAGGGGCATCCCCTCCAAAAATTAGTAAGCACCCTTTCCAGAAAGGCTCCCACTCCCCTCAAACAAAGTTCTTCCATAACCTACGGAAGATCCTGGGTCTGGGGACACCATAGAGGAAGCGCAGTCCCAGGGCAGACACCACTCACCACCTTCTCCTTAGAGCACAGCACACCCAGCTTCCCGAAGTGCACGTGGAACGGGGAGCACTGGAAGGAGCTGTCGGGCTGCCTCACCACCACCACATTGATGCAGCCCGTCAGGGTGGCGAGGTTCAGGCCCTGGTACAGCTCCTTCACTGTGACCAAGATGGTCTCAGCAAGCTGCCCCACGTAGTTCATTGTGTGAGTCTGCAGGTGAGAGACAAGAACCAACTTGGGGGGTAAAGAGGGCTCTGGCAGCTAAATGCAATGTGGGATTACTCCAGGAGTCACGTCACAGCTGCAAACACAGCCCTGGTGTCACAGCCCCTGGCGACTGGTCAGAGTTGGTTCTTTACCCAGAGGGACGAGGACAAGCAGGTGCCACCCAACAAGCCCTCTGCCCCAGCAGGCACCCAGCCTCTCTGATGCTTTTTGCACAAGCTCAGCCCTGTCCCATTCCCAGCCATCCCTCCGGGAAGGCAGTCTGCGTGAGGAGCCCCAATCCCCGCTCCATCTACCATCCCCCCCACCTCTCCCTGACAGCCAGGAATGAGCCCAAAGCCCAGATCCTCCCCAGGGGGGACAGCAGGAGAACACTACCCAGATCCCGAAGCTTCAGTGCCTCTGTCAGCTCTGTGGCAAGTGCAACTGGGGTCACGGGGCCCCCCCCCTTCCCTGGCAGCCGAGAGCTCCTCGCTGCAGAGGGGGGGATTTTTGGAGCAGAGGAACAAACCGAGTTTAACTCCCTGGGCTTCACCCAGGAAAGCTGGACACAGGCAGGGAACAAGGGGAAAAGGCTCAGACTTCTCGCAGCCCTCAGCCCCACCACAGATGGAGCAGGTCCATTAGGGAGGTGAAAAGTCAGACTCTGGAGAGAGATCAATAGGTGGACAGGGCAGGAGAAAGGGTTTTCAAAGCTAGTCCAAGGACTCTAAGCTACATTCAACAAATAAACCCTATAGAGGAACGGGGCACCCCCACCCCTCAGCCCCAGGAGCAGCAGGATCACAGCCCCCCACCACACAGCTCTTGCAGAGGGGAAAGGGGGCAGCCCTCCCTGGGGAAGCAACACAGCTCACACCCACACCTTCAGCTAAAAAGCCTCCCAAAATAACCCAGGTATTTTGCTAACACCAGCCTGCTCTGCTCCTAGGCTGCAGCAAGGTGGGCTCCGACACACCCCACGGGCAGCACACCCTCCCCACACTACAGCCTACCCGGGACCTTCCCCATTACCTGAGCAGCTGCCACCCCCAGCATCTTCTCAACCCAGAACCCTGGTGCTGCTCCCTCCAGCAGCAAGGCTCAGCCCCTCCTCTCCCCACCGCTTCCTTCCTCTCACCTGAGCAAGGGGAAAGCCCCACATCCCAGACAACACCCAGCACCCACCCCTGCCCTCTGCCGAGCCTGTGAGC